TCCCATTTGCAATAGCTTTGAAAAAAAAAATCAAACACCTAGGAATAAACTTAACAAAGGACGTGAATGACCTCTACAAAGACAACTACAAACATCTGAAGAAAGAGATTGAGGAAGACTACAGAAAGTGGAAAGATCTTCCTTGCTTATGGATTGATAGAATCAACATACTAGAAATGGCTATACTACCAAAAACAATCTACATATTCAACGCAATTACCATCAAAATCCCAATGACATTCATCACAGAGATTGAAAAATCTACCTTAAAATTCATTTGGAAACACGAGACTGTGGATAAGCCAAGGCAATACTTGCAAAAAGAACAATGCTGGAGGTATCGCAATATCTGACTTCAAACTATATTACAGAGCCATAGCAAAAAAACCAGCATAATACTGGTACAAAAACAGGTATGAAGACCAGTGAAACAGAATAGAGGACCCGAATATGAATCCACACAGCTATGCCCACCTTATTTTTGACAAAGGCACCAAGAACATGTGATGGAAAATAGCCTCTTCAACAAATGTTGCTGGGAAAAGTGGTTATCTGCCTGCAAAAAACTGAAACTAGATCCGTGCCTATCACCCTGTACTAGTACCAACTCAAAATGGATCAAGGACCATAATATCAGACCTGAAACTCTGAATCTAGTACAGAAAGAGCAGGGAATACTCTGGAAACAACAGGTATAGGCAAGGACTTCCTCAATAGAACTCCAGCAGCCCAGCAACTAAGAGAAAGGATGGACAAATGGGACTACATGAAATTAAAAAGCTTCTGCACAGCAAAAGAAGTGGTCTCTAAACTGAAGAGACCACCCACAGAGTGGGAGAAAATATTTGCTAGCTATACATCAGACAAAGGACTGATAACCAGAATATGCAGGGAGCTCAAAATCTAAACCCCCTCCAAATAAATGAACCAATAAAGAAATGGGAAACTGAACTAAACAGAACTTTTTCAAAAGAAGACATCCAAATGGCCAAAAAACACATGAAAAAAATTATCACCATCTCTAGTCAAAAATGAAATGCAGATCAAAGCCACAGTAAGATTCCACCTCACCCCTGTTAGAATAGCTATCATCAAAAATGAGACAAGGATGTGGGGAAAATGGAACCCTCATACACTGCTGGTGGGAATGCAAACTAGTATAACCACTCTGAAAACAATATGGAGGCTTCTTATAAGTCTAAACAGATCTGCCATATAATCCAGCAATCTCACTCCTAGGGATATACCCAAAGGAATGTGACTCAGGTTACTCCAGAGGCACCTGCACACCCATGTTCATTGCAGCACTATTCACAATAGCCAAGTTATGGAAACAGCCAAGATGCCCCACTACTGAAGAATGGGTTAAGAAAATGTGGTATTTATACACACAATGGAATTTTACTCAGCCATGAGGAATGAAACTTTGTCATTTGCAAGTAAGTGGATGGAACTGGAGAACATCATCTTAAGTGAAGTTAGACAGGCTCAGAAGGCCAAAAATTGTTTGTTCTCTCTCATATGTGGATTATAGACCCAAAACAAATGCAGTAATATTATTGGACATGGGTCACATGCTAAGGGGAGAACACATACATGAGAAATAGGGAAAGGTAGGAAGCCCAAAACTTGAAAGTGTTTGATGTGTTCACTGTAGAGGAGCTAATACAGTAATCTTAAAATGAAAGAGGTCAATATGGGAAGGTGACCAGGAAGTAGTGAAGAGGTCTGGTAGAGATGAATCAATTCGGGTTGTATTCCACACATGCTTGGAAGCAATGGTAGGACTCTCTCTGTATAGCTATCCTTATCTCAACTAGCAAAAACGCTATGTCTTTCTTATAGGAGAAGAGGGCAAAACACGTTCTGCCCAGAAGTGAGGGAGGTGTGGGGAGAGGTTTGGGGAAGGGGGCAGGGGGCACAGATGGCCCAAACAATGTATGCACATATGAATAAATAAAGAACAAACATACATGTGTATTTTCTGAAAATGGAGTATGAGTAATTGCTTTTCAGTATATTTTATAAGGCAAGAAAAGTTCTAATATATAAAACTAATAAAGACAGTATAAGTTGGAAAATTATAAGAGTAATATCTATGAAGAACATAGACATAACCATATCAAAATATTAGCAAACTGAATCCAGCAACATTTAAACATGATAGTACTTAATGAGCACATAGAGGTGTCTTGCATGAATGCAATAGTTTGCCATTTAAAGTAAGTCAAGATAACATATTACATCAACAACAAAAAGAAGAAAAGCAGATGATTACCTAAGTATATGAAGGAAAATAATTTGTTCCACTTTCAACAACTTTAAATGGAAAAATCTACTCTTGTCATGATTAAAGATGAAAGCTTGAATTCTTTTCTCCTCAATTCAGAAACTAGATCAGAGGTGTATGACCAAACTCAAATTGTATGTATTTTTACATCTCTGTTATAGGCATGGCTGTAGATATATGGGAACTTTTAGATACTTCAGTGGAAGTGTAAATTGATGCAGCACTTCAAGGAAAAATTTTGACCATTCCGCAAGTGATTAAACAAAGAGTTACCATATGACCAGTAACTCCACTCTTAGGTAATGGTCAGGAGAAATGAAGACATGTATCCATACAAAACTTATACACAACTGTCATAGCCACAGTGTTCATAATAGCCAAAAGGTAGAAACAGAATACCCATTAATTGATAAATGGATGAACAAAATACGGTTTTTCCATACAAAGAAATTTTACTGAGCTATGAAAAGGAATGACCACACTGATACATGCCACAATATGGGTCAACCAAGAAAAAACTAGGTTAAAGGAAAGAATCACAAAATACCATATTCTGATCCTATTCATGTAAAAGTCTGGAATAGGAAAATTTATAGAGGCCAGAAGTCAATTCCTGGTTGCTTATGGCTGTTGGGGTAAGAGAGGATAAGGGGTGATAACTAAAGGGTCTGAGATTTATTTTTGCGGTGACGAAAATGTTCTAAAATTGATCAGAGATAGCTGCATGTACCTATGGATACACTAAAATTCACTGCACTGTGCACTCTAAATGGGGGAATTCTGATATTTGCATTATAATATCAATAAAGGCATTATAAAGAAAATCAAGGATCTGAAAAAAGGCAAGGACATTTACCTTACTAATTCTGTTAGACAGAATAGGAGGTCCTAGCCAGCACAATGAAGTAAAAAAGAAATAAATATCATAAAACTAAAAAGTAGCAATAATTATTGTAGAAATTAACAAGTTGATTCTAAAATATATGTAGGAACGCAAAGAAGCTAGAACAGCCAGGGTTATTGCAGAAATATTGTTGAATGATTTACACTACTTAATTTTTGTGGTACTGGAGTTTGAACTCGGTTTTTGCACTTGGTAGGCTGGTGTTCTGTCACTTGAGTCATGACCCCAGCCCTTTTTTTTTTTTTTTTGCTTTAGTTGTTTTTTGAATAGGGTCTTGAGTTTTTGCTCAGGGCTAGTTTTGGATCATGATGCTTCGACTTAAGGTTTCCTATGTGGCTGGGACCAAAGGTGTATGCCACCACACTAAGCTTGTTCTGTTGAGATGGGAGTGTCTAACTTTTTTCCCTGGCTGGGATTACAGGTGTGCTCCCCCATGCCTGACACCTGCACTAATTCATTTTGAGATTATTAATATGGTGGCACCATTATTAAGACAGATAGTATAAGCAGGTGTGGTAGCATGACATCTGTAAGGCCAGAGCTTGAGAGGTAGAGGCAGGATTTTGAGTTTGAGGCCAGCCTGGGCTACATAATGAGACCTTGTTCTCCCCTTTCCCCCAAAAGAAAAAAAGTCAGTGAAGTATTGGCATGAGGACAAAGAAAAAATTCCAGAAATACATCCACATATAAAGAAATGTCTGATTTGACAAAATTGTCAGTGCAATTCAATTTAGCAAAGAAATATTTTCAAACAAATAGTGCTGAAACAACTGGATATCTATACGTGAAAAATCTTGACTTCTACTTCACACCATTCATAATCATTATTTGCATTGGACCATAAACCTAAAATTAAAAGCTAAGTCCACAAAGCAAAGCACAAAACTGATCATTTGTACATCATAACTAAGTTTCTTTTTAATCAACAATAAACTAAAGTAGGGACAAAATTGGACAATATATTTTCAATAAATGTATCTGACAAAAGACTTGTATTCAGAATATACAAATACCTGGTACAAATCAATAACAAAACCAAAAAACTTTAAACATTACAAAAGACTTTAAAAATATTTCCCCAAAGAAATATGCATGAATCAACATAATATATTTCAGAAAAAAGCAAGTTAAGACCATAATGAATTACTAGCTTATACTCAGTAAAGTGGTTAAAATGAAAAAAAAAATAATGACAATATCAAAGGTTGACCAGAAAGTAGAACAACTGAAAGCCAATATACATTATTGCTGAGATTATAGAATGGTACCACTATGTTGGAAGACCATTCAGCAAATTCTATTAAAGGTAAACATATACCTACTTTCTGTCCTAGCAATTATACTTCTCGGTTAAGAAATATTCATAGCAGCTTTATTTGTAATATCCCAAATGGAAAGCAATCAGATGCCAAAAGTAGATAAACTGTGGTATATTCATAAAATGGAATGTTAGCAACAAAGAGGAGCTGGCGTATACAACAGCTTGTAGATGAGGTTTACTTCTCCTTATTAGATGAGTATCCATATCTTTCTCATGTTATCAGGGTCTCTTGGAAGGTAGAGGTGATGTCAGACAGTGGCATTTCCAGGGAGGCCATCATCAGTTTGGTAGTCATATTTCCCTTTAGATGAGGGTTCCCTGAGCTTTGCAACCACACCCACATGGTAAGTAAGAAACATCTGATGGTTCATTTGACTTGTGATATACCTCCTTATCAAAGTAAGGATACCATTATGCTTGGAGTCACAGGCCTCATAAACGTTGCCCAAGTATTGGGAAATAAGAGGAAAGGGTCTCAGGGTGGGTTTGAAGACTTTATGTCTGAGCAGGACCCCTTTTCAGTAGTCGTAGGGCCCCATCCCAGATCTGCTTGGTCTTCATCCCGTAGATGATGGGGTTGAGCATGGGTGGCACGATAAGGTAGAGGTCAGCCAGGAGGATGTGGATGTGCCTGGGCACATGCTGGCCAAAGCGCTGTGTGTAGAATGAGAAGAGCCCTGGTGCATAGAAGAGAAGGATAACACCTAGGTGGGAACCACAAGTGCCAAAGGTCTTAGCCCTTGCCTCCTTGGAGGAGAGGCCTAATACAGCCCGGAGGATGAGTGCATAAGAGACAGCAATGCAGATAGAATCAGTGCCCACCACCAGCGTGGCAGCAGTGATACCATATATGTTGTTTGGCTGTGTGCCCCCACATGCCAGCTTTACCACAGCCATGTGCTCACAGTAGGAGTGGGCCACCACTCTGCTACAGTAGCTCAGCCTTGCCAGTAAGCAGGTGAGTGGGGTCATAAGCCCTAACCCACGAAGCAGAGCAGCAACCCCTAACTTGCCTACTGACTCTGGGGGCAGCAGTGACCCATAGTGCAGTGGCCGGCAGATGGCCAGGTAGCGGTCAAAGGCCATTGATAGTAGAATACCAGACTCTACAGCTGAGAAGCCATGGATAAAAAACATCTGGGCAGCACAGGCCCCAAAGGTTATCTCAGCAGCATTTGCCCAAAAGAGTGCAAGGAACTTGGGCACAGTGGAGGTGCAGAGCACCAGGTCAATGGTAGATAGCATACACAGGAATAGGTACATGGGCTGGTGCAGTGTAGGCTCTGAATATACTACCAGCAGAACTGCTATGTTGCCAAGCACTGCCAGGGCATACATGGAGCAGAAAGGAAAGGCAAGCCAAAAGTGGGATGCCTCCAGGCCAGGAATTCCCATGAGCAGGAAGGAAGTTGGGTTCTGATGGCTATGGTTTGAATGTTGCATGGCCAGGCCAAAGTAGAGTAGATAGAGAAGATCTCACTGCCTTGCTCTAATTCCTAAGAAGTCCTGAGATATGAAGTAGGTGGGACTCATTCTTATTCTGTAGTTGAAGATATTTGAGTTCAACTTCATGCAAAGCATCCAGGATGAGAAGATTGTAGGCTACTGGGAAATGATACAAAGGAGAAAGTGGATTACTGTCACCAAGATTCAAAGGAGCCCTTCTCACTTGTCTGATTCAATCTGATTCTAGGCTGTGGGCTGAGTGCAATGGCTATAGAATCATTTCCATGGTGAAGGTAAGTGAAAGAGATTTTTACATGTGTCTACTCTGTCTGCGAACCTTCTTTTGCAAATTCTTTGTATTATTTTCTGATTCATCTGCCTTGTGGAAACATGAAGGTAATGTTAACAGTAAAAGGCCAGGAAGACTGAGTGGAAGACTCAAATATTACTTTCCAAGATGGGAAGATCATGACTGAAGGGAAGCAAAGGGGAGGTAAAGAAATCTTGGATGGAGTTTTCAAGCCTTTGATCCCATAACTCATAGACAAGGCTCAAAACCAAGGTTTTGACCAGAAACATCAAAGCATAGGTGAGGGGCTGAGTCTCTTATAACCTGCTACAGACATAAGGGGTTATCTGGCTCATATTTGGTACTAGGATCCTATGCTTCTTTCAGGTGTCCTATATGAATTGTTGGTAGAATCAAGTAAGATGGTACAGAATTGGTAGTGGTAGGTATCAGGCTGATTTTGCCACAATATATGATCTGATACAGTAATGAGGAGATGATTGTGTATAAAACATATTCTCTAATAAAAGTATGTGAAAGAATGAAAAGTGAATTTTAATCATGAAGAACACAGCAAACCATTTCCATAAGCAAATATGGGAAGTAAATTTGATCAAATGATAGTTTGAGCTTTTATGTACTTGTGCCCCATATATTCTATTATACAACTGTTTTCCGATCTTCCCTCTCCTGTATGTGCCATCTTTTTTTTCTCTTGTGTACTAGCCAGCCAATAATTGAGAGAGAGAGAAGGTAGATAAAACAAAAAAGGCAGAAAGAGAACAGTAAAGAGAGAGGAGATGAAGATGAAAAGCAAAGAAAGATGAGAATCGGAATGAGAATAGACATAGGAAAGAGTAGAGAGGTCCTTTTTCAGAAGCACTTATAAAATAATGGGACATGACTGTGTTTTGGTTGCTAATAGAAACAGAGACAGTGGAACCAATTAGGCTCTTTGGAGATACTACATTTGTATTCATATCCTAAAGCTGAAATACTCCTTTTAATTCCTAACATCAGCTACCCATACCCAGAGACTTAGGAAATTGTATTGGGGAAAGAGGAAGAAAAAGACAAGGTTTTCTAATGTGAACTGCAGAAAACAGCTACATTTTGGGATGCCTCTTTTCCATCTCAGTGCCAAATGTAGCTGCCATTCTAATATTGAACAAATGATCTGTCTCTTTTTGTCTTATCATCCCTTTCCCTGTGTATTTCCTGTTTTATCATCTGTGATA